AAAAAAAAAAAAAAAAAAAAAAGAAAGAAAGAAAAAGAAAAGGGGAACAGAATCAAACCTTGGGGCATACTTCTAGAAGTCCAGTAGAAATAGAAGAAATAACAAAAAGACCAAGAAGAAGAAACAGGAAGGAAGGAGGAAAAACAGAAGAGTATCCTATGGTGAATTAGAAGAAAATGTTTCAGAAAGGATGAAAATGGTGAATTTTGTGGAATACTGCTGCAAGTCTGCTTCACCCACTGAACCTTGTGGGCACCTGCTATGTAACAGGCTCAGGGGCTGGTACTGGGGATATTGAGAACCAGGCACTGCCCTACCTCAAGGAGCTTAGAGTCTAATAAGGGATAGGTTTGCAAAATAAATAAGGCAATACATTACTGACATTTTGATAGAAGTATGAGAGAGGTAGAGCTGGAACACAAAGGAAACTGTGATCCTGGCTGGCCATCTTTGATGTAAATCTGGAATGATGAAGAAGTGCATGCAGATGAGTTAGAGAAGGACAAGGCAGGCAAAAGGAGCAGCATGAGCAAAGGTAAGCAGTGGTCAAGCAACTTTGGGTAACTTTATGGCTAGAGTAAGGGACGGGGACTATGGTTGGAGATAAGATGATGGCAAGAGGCCTGGTCACAAATAGTCTGACATGCGCTGTCAAGGATTGCACTGGGAGTTGGCAAGACAAAATGTTTCAGAATGTTAAGAACTTTGCTGTTTAAATGGTTGATCATGAAATCCAGCGTAGCTAGAAAATCCAGAGAGACCTAAGATAGGGACTGACTTAATGTGAAAAATAGTAAGTAACTAAGAAACCAGAGGGTATAAAGAGAATGAAAATCAGATTTGGGCAAGGAATATTTTCTGCTTTGCCAGGAAGCCATAGTTCTGATACCTTAAGTCTGGTTGTATTCTGAAATTTCTTGACTGCTCAATGGTTAGAAATTTTAACCTATCTAATTATATGTATTTCAGATTGACAATTTAATACCTAACATGAACAGTAGTCTTCTAGAAAGCCCCAGAAATGTAAATCCAGGCTTCACTAAGACCCAGGCACCAGTAGAAGAGGAAGAGGAGTCAGACCTAGATTTGCAGGTGGAACAAGAAGAGTCTGGGCTGGATCTGGACCTTAACCTGGATCAGGAGCTGGAAGCTGAGTCAGAACTGGAGTTTGAGTCAGAGCTGGAGCCTGAAACCGAAGCTGAGCAGAATCCTGAGCCTGAGACTGAGCCCCAGACTGAGACTGAGACTGACCTGGAGCTGGAGCCAAGGGCCAGATCCAAATCAAGGGCTCACAGTTTGTCTCAGTGGCAATACTGGCCTATGTTTCAAAATACGGCTCCCACCTCTCAGTCTCAGGTTCCGCCTCGGACAAGGTCAGCAGGGAGGAGACATCGTTTTATGGATTCATACTCATCTGAGGGCAACATTTAGGATGTCTGGGGGGTGAACTAGAAATAAAGGGTCAGATAACCTTGGCCAACCCTCCCACACAAAACAAGTTGCTGGCTCAAGAGACCTAGATTAGATACAAAGTAAGGACACTTGCTTTGTGATACTTGCTTTGTGGCCTTTGTCCTTGCCCAGCATTGAAATCATACTCACAGATCACATTACTAAATGCCAATAATTATCTCTGAATTCTCTATCCAAGCTCCCCTCATTTCACCTTCAGCAGATATTCTAGTGATTGGATTTCTTTCTTCACACACCCCATATCTCTGGGGTTTATGCCAAACTATCTCTAACTCACTCCTCTCATCTCTGTTCCCCTTTCTCCAAAGAGATGAGGCTCAAATAAAATATAGAACTTTAGTTACATTTGGATCCTTTCTGCTCCTTCTCCCTTCTATGTATTCTGCAAGGAAATGGCAAGTAGGAGATATTCCAGAAGGGAGAGAGCACAGTGGAGAAGAGATGAGCAAGAAAAAGAAAAACTGAGTAGCATTTGTATTTTATATGCAAGATATCTTCACTGCACTGAAGGGGAAATGGAGGAAATAGGCAGGATAAGCCAGGCCAAAGGTAAGCCAGCCTGTGAGGTTTGTAGTACAAGGATCTGCTAAGCTGAAAGCACTTTTGCTGTTGCTTCCAGAAATCAAAATCTCATCCTGCCACTGGTTTCATAAGGCCAACCACCTTTACCAGCTTAGGGGAATGGTAGCTTTATGGAACCCTCCCTTGTCTTCAAATTCACATCTACCACTGCTGCTTTCTTGCAGGGTTTTAAGATACAGGCAATCTGGAATCTATACTTTTGGTAGGCCAAACTTACTTAAAATCTCTTACACAAACTCCCTAGGAGTGGGAAAAGTAATCATCACTAATTTTGTCCAAATCTTTCCCTCTTGGGAAAGAGGGAAATCTCTTCCCTCTTTTTTGTCCAAAAAATTCCCTCTTCCCCATTAAAAAGTCCAGTATTAAACTATGACCAGAAGAAAAATATAGACCCTTGGACAAAAGTATATGAAATCTTGACTTATTTTTCCAACTCAATAAATATGATGATTCCTGCTTGGGAACTTGATTTCTTTTGTTTGTTAAATGAAAGAAACCTTTGTCAAAGTATAGATATCTCTTATCATAGAGATAGCATATGTATTCACTCATTCTACAAGAACTTTTGTTAAGTGTATGCTACATGCATAACATTTCAAACCATAAGGTAGATTTTATAAAATGGTATCATCCCAATTTACACATACATAAACTGACACTTGGAAGGTTTGTAATTAGGCCTAGGTCATATACAACATTTTGTAATTACAAAACGAAGCGGGGCGGGGGGGTGTGTGCCTATTCGGTGGTTAGGATGGGGCCACACGCTCCCGGAGCTGGTAAGTTTGAACCCGGCCCAGGCCTGCTAAACAAACAAAACAAACAAACAAATAAGGGCAGCACCTGTAGCTCAGTGGGTAGGGCGCCTGCCACATATACTGAGGCTGGCAGGTTTGAATCTGGCTCAGGCCAGCTAAAATAACAATGACAACTGCAACAAAAAAATAGCTGGGCATTGTGGTGGGTACCTATATAGTCCCAGCTACTTGGGAGGCTGAGACAAGAGAATCACTTAAGCCCAAGAGTTTGAGATTGCTATGAACTGTACCAAGGGCAACATAGTGAGACTCTGTCACACACACACACAAATTGGGGATCCTTCCTGGCCATAAGCTTTGTTTTTTTCATGTTTACTGAAAACATTTATGGAACTCCTACTATGTGCCAGGCATGTGCCAGATGCTAAAGATACAGGATAAGGAGAATAAATGACAAAAAATAATTTTGAAAAGTAAAATACAAGAAACTCTGAGAACATACTTTAGGAGAATCTGACCAACTCTTGGGTATCAAAGAAGTTCTTCCTATGGCAATAGTATATGACCTGGGATCTGAAGGATGAGTAAGAACTTGCTTACAGCAAGTTCCAATGACTATTAGGGGGGCAGATAGAAGTGGTGACCATGGAAAAAACAACTAGGCCAAGTGTAGGTAGTGGCTCATGCCAATCCTAGTACTTTAGAAGGCCAAGGCAGGAGGATTGCCTCAGGACAGGAGTTACTAGCCTGAGCAAGAGGGAGTCTTCCACCTCTACAAAAAGTAGAAAAATCAGCTGGGCGTGGTAGTGCACACCTATAGTTGCAGCTACTCCAGTTCCTCCTGAAGCTGAGAGAAGAGGACTTCTTGAGACGGGGAGTTTAAGATTGCATCAAACTATGATTGATAATACCACTGCATTCTGGCCCAAAAGACAGAGAAAGACCCTGTCTCAAAAAAAAAAAAAGAAAAAGAACAAAACTGTCTGTGGGTAAAATCTGAGACACAAAACTCACTCAGAAACAAACTGAGTACTTAGGACACAACCAGATGGAATCTATGCCACCTAGAAACAGGGTCAAACTAGGAATAAGTTGTCAGGGTAGCAGGTATGGGCACAGCAATCTATCAAAACCAAGGAAACATTCTTATAATAGGAGACTAAGAAACAGTACATGGAGAGCCCAGTTTCTGAGGGCTGCCACCTTCTCACTTCAGTTCCTGCTAGTCCCATCTACAGGATGGTCTTTAAATACAGAATCAGTGGCCTCTGACACTTGTGCAGTAAGTGATAGAATCTACCAGGGGTGTCCAACTTGCAGCCTGTGGGCCACATGCTGATTTTGTAAGGACATTTTTTTTTGCTTTTCTGGTGTTGAATACCACAAAAAGTATGCAAAGACCATTTTTGGGTTTTTTTTTTTTTTTTTTTTTAATCAGCTTTCATTAGTATCTGTGTATTTACTGTGTGGTCCAAGATAACTCATTTTTCCAAAGTGCAGCAGAAAAGAAAAACGTTTGGACACCCTGGTCTAGACTTTAATCCTTTCTGCTACAACTATAACATGACTAAATCTTGGCTTTGATGCATGACCCTATAGAAACCAACCAGTTGCTTGTACTACAGTGTATCTTTAAAAAATATTCTAGCATTAGTACTCTGGGAGGCCGAGGTGGGTAGACTGCTTGAGCTCACTACTTTGAGATCAACCTGACCAAGAGCAAGAGCCTGTCTCTAAAAAATAGCCAGGCATTATGGCTGGCACCGATAGTCCCAGCTATTTGTGTGGATGAGGCAAAATTATCACTTGAACCCAAGAGTTTGAGGTTGCTGTGAGCTATGACGCTATGGCACTTTACTGAGGGTGATAAAGTAAAACTCTGTCTCAAAACAAAACAAAAAAAAATCTGGTATTAATCCAGGCTCAGTGACTCATTCCTGCAATCTTAGCACTCTGGAGGCTGAGACAGAATAATTACCTGAGCTCAGGAGTTCCAGACCAGCCTAGGCAAGAGCAAAACCCTGTATCTACTAAAATCAGAAAAAATTAGCCAGATATAATGTCACGTGCCTGTAGTCCCAGCTACTCAGGAGGCTGAGGCAGGAGAATCTCTAGAGCCCAGGATTGTGAAGTTGCAGGGAGCTATGATGCCATTGCACTCTAGCCAGGGCAACAGAATGAGACTCTGTCTAAGAGGAATATATATACACATATATATGTGCACAAGCACGCGCGCGCGTGTGTATACATGAAATCAATTTTAAAGATTCGGCTTGGCACCTGTGGCTCAAGTAGCTAAGGCAACAGCCACGTACACCAAAGGTGGTGGGTTCGAATCCAGCCTGGACACACCAAACAACAACGAGGGCTGCAACCAAAAAATAGCCAGGTATTGTGGCTGGTGCCTGTGGTCCCAGCTACTTTGGAAGCTGAGGCAGGAGACTCGCTTGAGCCCAGGAGTTGGAGGTTGCTGTGAGCTGTGATGCCACAGCACTCTACCCAGGGAGACAGCTTTAGGCTCTGTCTCAAAAAAAAAAAAATACAAATGTATGACTCAGTGCCTACAGCTCAGTGGTTAGGGCGCTGGCCACATACACTGGGGCTGGCAGGTTCAGACCTAGCCTGGGCGTGCCAAACAACAATGACAACTACAACAACAACAATAACAAATAGACGAGTGTTGTGGCGGGAGCCTGTAGTCCCAGTTACTTGGGAGGCTGAGGCAAGAGAATCACTTAAGCCCAATAGTTTGAGGTTGCTGTGAGTTATGATGCTACAGCACTCTACCGAGGGTGACACAATAAGACTCTGTCTCAAAAAAAAAAAATACATATGTATATATTTTCTGGAATAAATCTATAGCTTCCACCCAGTCTAAAGTAATCAGATAAAGAGAAATTGTTAACCAATTATAAATTGTACAGCATTAAAAAAGGATAAAGTGACTCACAATTTAAAGGCTAAGTCTTCTTTCAAAATGCAGATTACCTGAAATTCTGGGATGTTTCAGACTTTACAAAATGGTATGGTTTGAACTGGTTAGCTCACTTCTTACAGCATGGTCATCATGGTTTTCTCTCCCTAATTAAAAACTGGAGAAAAATTAAAGACTGCAAAATGGGTGAAGACTGAAACTGCAGGTATAAACATCTGAGTACAAACTTTTCCCCATTACTAAAACAAACAACAATAATAAACAACCTCTTTGGCTGGTGATGTGGCTCATGCTTGTAATCCTAGAACTCTGAGAAGCCCAGGTGAGTGGATCTCCTGAGCTCAGGAGTTCAAGACCAGCTTGAGCAAGAGCAAGGCTCCATCTCTTCTAGAGTAGAAAAACTAGCCAGCATCATGGTAGGTGCCTACAGTCCCAGCTTCTTGGGAGGCTGAGGCAAGAAGATTGCTTTAGCCCAAGAGTTTGAGGTTGCTGTGAGCTATGATGATGCCACAGCACTCTACCCAGGGCACAGAGTGGTATTCTCTCAAAAAAACAATAAAACAAAAAAACCCCAACTCCTTAAAGTAGCTTGTGTTCTATAGTAAATGGAGTTTTTGGTATAAGTTTTGTGGTTTTTTTTGAGACAGAGCCTCTAGCCGTCGCCTTGGGTAGACTGCCGTACC